AAAAATCAAAAAAAGTTATGGATGAAAGAGTTGCTTAAAATTAGAAGATAAAAATTATAATGTATATAGCATTTAAATATAATTAGAAAATAATATTGGGTACAACTTTTTCAGCATTTGTTTGTTTGCAATACTATTTAAACATTCCCAATTTTGAGTATTTATTCTAACAGTAAAATATATCATGGTATTCAATACAGTTGCTTTCCATTATATAGAGATATTGACAAATGATTAAGGTTTTGTTTGTGATAGTTTTTTTATTTCTTTTTAAAATAGTTTTTTAGTACAAAAATTTCTTGAACTAAAAGTATTTGTACTAAAAAACTGCTTTAAAAAACAGAAAAAAACTGTCCTAAAAAAAACCTAAGGTTTCGTTTGTTATATTTTTTTTATTGCTTCTTCAAACGGAGTTTTAGTAAAAAATTTTAATTTTTTTACTTGAATTCCGTTTTAAGAAACAATAAAAAAGTCGTCCCAAACAAAGCCTAAGAATGAGATATAACCACTAAATTTAAATGAAGTCTGATTACCATGATAACGATTGAACTTTGTTTAGTGAACTGGTATGAAATTTCTTTCAGATTAAACCAATGTTTAAGCTTTTACTTTTGTCATTCCTATTGCTGCTTGATTGTTATTTATGTTATTTAGGGTTTGGTTTTGGAGTTGTCGACACAATTAATGACTTAGGAAGGATATCCTTTTTAAGCGGTTTCATTGGAAGCGTACTTGATTCTATAAGGTAATCTTGCAAGCCATTGATCTTAAATAATAGGATCCTTATTAAATATCATGTAAACTATTATTTTGTCTCCATTGATTGCAGGGATGGATCGGATGTGAGGGGATACTTTATTTGGGCCTTTTTGGATGTTTATGAATGGATAACTGGGCTTACAGAAAGATTTGGGCTCTACCATGTAAATTTTGAGGACACTGAACTTGAGAGAACACCTAGGCTTTCAGCCGACTGGTACCGAAACTTCCTTAAAGATGGAGGAAAAATCAAGATAGAGAAACTTTGCCAGCAAAGGGCAAAAGCTCAGTCGTCACAGTAAACAGTTATTTTCTAATGTTTTGAATCATTCTGTAACGTTCAGGAATTGTCATAATTTTTCAAACTTATCATTTTGCTCAGAGAGATTGTTTAATTTGCTTCGGATCAGAGAATTCTGATATATTGAATGTTGTTGAACTTGCTCAAAAATGCTCCAGAAATTTTTGGAAGCTAGTGGCAATTTCCATGAGAATATTTTGGGAAGTCTTTAGCTTTTATTCAGTCATTTGTAAACTTATGGATTGCCAGCATACAGTTCTTAAGAAGCCTTTTAACCCATGTAAAAATCCTGGTTTGTTTTTCTATCATCAAATGATTCTATAAAAGCATTAACAATTCACCATTGGACTCTCTTTTGATAATTTCAAAATTAAGGTTTTGTTTGAGATAGATTTTTTTATTGCTTCTTAAAACAGAGTGTTAGTATAAAAATTTTAATTTTTGTATTAAAATTATGTTTTAAAAAACAATAAAAAAGTAATCCCAAACAAAGCAAAGGCTTAGGCTTCGTTCGGGACGGCTTTCTTATTGCTTCTTAAAGTAGCTTTTTAGTACAAAATTTTAAATTTTTATATTAAGAAGTTGGTTTAAGAAGCAGAAAAAAATAGTCACAAATAAGCCCTTATGGATAGCTTTTGGCTATTATTTTTTTTATTGCTTTCATATCTCCTTGATA